GGTGGTAGCTCAACTCAATGCCTTTAGTGATGCGGTGGAGAAAGCTCAACGAGTTGAAAGCGCGAGGTTACAAGTTAGAAACTTCCAAGCTAAGAAAAGAGGATTTCCTGGAAGTAAATCAGAGCAAGGGGATAAGAGTATGCCTCCTAAGATTGGAAGAGGCAACGGGGCAGTACAACTACCAGGGATGCCAAGTGGCGCTTCACAGAGGGGCTTAGTCTCCTCTTCCCGTGGTCCCTGCGGGTACTGTGGGAAGCCGAATCACACGGAGGAGGTCTGTTGGAAGAAAGGAAGAAAATGTCTGTGTTGTGGGAGTACAGATCATCAAATCGGAAATTGCCTAGGCCGATCTCGAGAAGGGAGTAGGAGCCAACAGCCCACCCCGACCAACCCTGACCAGTCGAAGGGGGAGAAGAATGGACCAAAGGTGTCGGCTCGGGCGTATGCCCTAGAGCAACATCAAGCCCCTGACTCGTTTGAAGACGTGGAAAGTAAGATTCTAGTATTCCACCGTTTGATCACCAGAATGGTGTATAAGACGTTCAATTTGAGAAGGAAAAAGAAACTATACGAAAGAATTCAATGAGCTTGGCTAGTGAAGGAATACTGATTGATTGGCTAGGTACGGTGCTCAATTTGAGTGTGAGAAAGAAGTAATAAAAGTTTTGTATCCCGGAGAAGGCGACGATAAGAAATTTCGAGGACGAAATTCTTTTAAGGGGGAGAGAGTGTGAGAACCCGAAAATTTTTTGAATTTCTAGGCCTTATTTTCTTTCTTTGTACCCGTTTTCTACATTTTTGTTATTATGTTAACTTTAGAGATATTTTTATAAGTAAATACAGTTCTTAACTCATTTTTCTAGTATAAGTTAGTTCATGAGATATTTGATGTGTATATTGGACGTGGGACCCGCTAGTGCATTAAGTGAGAGAAATTTCGGCCAATTAGGTTAAGTGTTGTATACTGAGAGTAATTTACTAGGTGTTGAGAGACAATTAGAGGTTATCTATATGGATTAGTAGTAGAGAGACAAAGGGATAGCTATAAACCAAAAAGGTGACAAGTGTCACTTTGTGATTAAAGGTTGGACTTTGACCATTTTACCAACTTTACTAAATAACCAAGAAATTGACCCAAAATTCATCATCATACATCGCTCTCTTGGCCGACTCTCTTAGAGAGCAAAAGAAAGAAAAACCTCCAACTTTCTTCTTCTCAATCTTGCTCAATCTCACAACTTAACCGTTACAACTTCAAATTACTCCATAAAAACCCCTAGCTAAGTAGTATTGAGGTAGTTAGTGGAGTTGTTTTGGAAGAAAGAGACCTAAGATACTACCTTTTGTGAGGTATCAAGGTATGGTGTGTAAAGATTCATTGTTTGTTTCCAATAATGGCTAATTCATGACTTGTGGTGGCTAGTTATGTGATTTTATGGAAGATTTTATGGTTTAGAGTGAAGTTAGCTAAATTTCTGATTTTTGTGAGAATTTTTCTGTTTTCCTATTATGGATATGGTTGGCTTGAATTGATGGCTCTAAATGGTGTTAAATAGACCTCTTGTGCGTTAATTGCGGTTATTTGCGAAAAATTTCAGTTTTGTGCGGAAATTTCAGCATTAGGGTTTCAATTTTCTCTGTTCTGTCCGGTTTTATTTGAGCATGTTAGAGGCCGAATCAGGCTCAGGTTAAAACATTAAAGTTGTAGCAAATGATGTTAACTAGCTGCCTACAACATTTCAGCTCAATCGGAGCACTGTAACCTGTGAAATGACCGAAATACCCTTGACTGCCCATGAACCCTGTTTCGCCGGCCGATTTCTGTTTTCGTGGGGATTTCCATTTTTTACCATGAAAATGCCTGATTTGGCTTTGGAGGTCTTCATAATAAATGTAGGTTTATGTTTTGGCTTCGAAACGCCATAAGATTCGTTTCAATCCGATAAGTGTAGCTTCAGTTGTGCTTATTGTGCCGAAAGGTGTATTCTATAGTCTATAATGTGTATGTGGTTGATTGGAGATGAATTGGTGTTGCTTGCAGGATGGAAAAGTAAGGAAATGTAGGGGATATGCTGTCCAAATTTTGGATTGTTGGATTCTTTCGAATTTGGTTTGATTTGGGATATATAAGATTGGCTTTTGGGGTTGTTCGAGCCCTAAGTTTTCATGTTACCTTTCGTTCCCGAAATCATGTTTTGCACACTTGCATGAGTAATTAGTTGGCGAGGTCTACGACTTGTAGTCGAGCCTCATTTGTGCATTTTATTTACTGAAATTGTGGCTATGGGAACCATAATTGTTTACCTTGGCTATTCTAGGGTTTCTTGGTGATTAGAGCCCTACCTTGGTTGAACTCTGCTTTAACTGGTGAGTGTACCACTCCGCTGAATTATTGTTTAATTGGTTCATCTATACTTGAAATGTGTGACATGGATACCTATGAACTCTGTTATTCTGAATGAAACGAGGGTGTACTTTATCACACTCGTTATCTTGCCTGCACTGAATGAACTGGAATCTATTACTTGTACTTGTTATGTACTTGAACTTGTTACTTGCGCTTGTTATGAGATCGTTTAGAAGTGTGTCGAACGATCTTCCTGTTAAACTTGAGTTCAACCTCATGGGGAGTTAATTAAATCGAGCCAGCAAGGGCTTGGTCGAGGTAATTGACAATCCATGGGTACCTGTTCCTGAGGAATCTTTGGGTATTGAGACTCTTGATTCCGGTATACTCGAGTAATACCATAACTATTCCTGTTCGGCATTCGGGCCCGGTAAGGGGTATGTTTGGTGAACGGGATTTTGGCGTAAGGGGGGTCTACGGACATGAGTGTGTTATTAAATGTTGACGGAGAGTCAACGAGACTGGATCAATTATTGCAACAGGGATTTGGCTCCTGAGGGCCACCTGTATCCTTTAAATTGTGGTGTTCGTTTATTTCTCTTACTTGATGTGTATATGTGCCCTAAAAGTGTTTTTCCATGATTCCACTGTTATGCTTTTGGTACCTCAATTAGCTTCTAGCTCACCCCGTTCCGTTATCCTTGTTTTCCTTACAGGGAACCACTTTTGGAACTGTGATTTTGAAGCATGTTGAGCTAGTTTAGAGATTTTGTATAGCTCCTCAATGGTTGGAAACCCTAATTGTACTTGGATTCTAATGTTCCCTTTTGATTTGTAAAAATACGAATGTGGTTTATAGAAGCATGTACCCATGTTCATGTGTTATATTTGGTTTGTATATGTCCATTTCAAGGATTATATGAAATTACTTGTATTCGATTGGGTCCTGGTCGGATTGTGACGTGGTAGGCACTATTCACTTTACGTTTCGATTTTCATTTTTGTTTCATTTTTTTTTTCCGCGCGCTACTGTATTGCGCTATTGAATTCCGGCACGTTTTGAGTTGCGTCTTAGTAGTCCTGGCGAGAGTTGGGCAGACAGTCTGCTAACCTCTTTGGTACGCCTTAGGGGATAGTGGGGCTGTCACAGGTGGTATCAGAGCCAGGTTCGCGTGGTCTCTGCGCGGATTGAGTTTGGGACCAAGTGGTGTTGTGGTCTCGATCATATGAATGAGTGTAAGGGACTAAGTGCTCTTTTGAGCATAAGTTATGAATCACGGTGTATTATAGATTTTAAAACATTATTTTGGTACTTGGAGACTATAGATACATATGTCGGGTAGGAATTTCAAATATAGATGATTTACTCTTGGGACTGGCCAGCTCAAGTGGTGAATTATCTTATTTTAGATTCTAGTACCCGAATACGAAATGGGATGGATGCCTAGGTTAGAAATGATTTGGTGAATTAGACATCTGATTCTACGGAACTTTATATGATGTGTGGATGATTAACCCTGCCTAAGAGATAAATTGCTATTTCTTGTAGATTACGGATGGAACCCTAGGGTGGAATTTTTTTTGTTAGTTGCTTTTGTACTCCTGGTCTAGTTCGTAGTATGTACTATTGAATGACCCCCTTACTTCCATAGAATTTCCTTTGCTTGTATCTGACTGACTGTTACTGTGTGATTTGTTTGATATAGTCGTGTTATATGTATATTTGTTTTTTTTTTGAATTGATTTGGACATATTAGATATATATCTGACTGACTGACCTCGTTAGTTATATATTGTATTCGCGCCTCGAGCCTAGATTAGTTAATCCAATGGAAGGAACTCGAAGTGGACGAGGCCGGGGCCGTGGACGTAGGCAACCCTTAAATGAAGGGGAAAATCGGGAACCAATGCCTGAACCCAACCCTGAACCTGGAATGGACCCTAACATTCAGGTAGCTGTCGCTATCCAACGTATGACCGACCTTTTGGCTCACGTAGTGGAACATCAAGGCCAAAATCCTATTACTTAGTCGGAAAATCCTGGTAATCATACCGAGGATGAGGATAAAGCTCTTGAACGATTTCAAAAGTTCTCGCCACCAAAATTTCTTGGAGGACCCGACCCTAACGTGGTCGAGTGGTGGTAGAGAAGATGATTGATATTTTTACTACGCTACACTATACTAAGGAGCGACAGGTGACATTTGCCGTCTTTCAACTGCAGGAAGCGGCCCGTTCTTGGTGGAATATCATAAGACTGAAATGGAAAAGAGAACAAACTCCAAGAACGTGGGTGAATTTCATGAGAGAGTTCAACACGAAGTATTTCCCACCTCTGATTCAGGAAAAGAAAGAAGATGAATTCATTTGGCTTCGGCAGGGAACTCAAACTGTCGCCGAATATGAGAGCCAGTTCACCAGGTTGTCTAAGTTCTCTCCCGAACTAATTGTGACCAAACAAAGGAGGATAAGGCGTTTTGTCCAGGGATTAAATGTTGAGATTCAGAAGGACTTGGTGGTAGCTCAACTCAATGCCTTTAGTGATGCGGTAGAGAAAGCTCAACGAGTTGAAAGCGCGAGGTTACAAGTTAGAAACTTTCAAGCTAAGAAAAGAGGATTTCCTGGAAGTAGTTCAGAGTAAGGGAATAAGAGTATGCCTCCTAAGATTGGAAGGGGCAACGGGGCAGTACAAGTACCAGGGATGTCAAGTGGCGCCTCACAGAGGGGCTTAGTCTCCGCTTCCCGTGGTCCCTGCGGGTACTGTGGGAAGCCGAATCACACGGAGAAGGTCTGTTTGAAGAAAGAAAGAAAATGTCTGCGTTGTGGGAGTGCAGATCATCAAATCGTAAATTGCCCAAGCCGATCTCGAGAATGGAGTAGGAGCCAACAACCCACCACGACCAACCCTGACCAGTCGAAGGGGGAGAAAAATGGACCAAAGGTGTCGGCTCGGGCGTATGCCCTAGAGCAACATCAAGCCCCTGACTCGTTTGAAGACGTGGAAAATAAGATTCTGGTATTGCACCGTTTGACCACTAGAATGGTGTATAAGACGTTCAATTTGAGAAGGAAAAAGAAACTATATGAAAGAATTCAATGAGCTTGGCTAGTGAAGGAATACTGATTGATTGGCTAGGTACGGTGCTCAATTTGAGTGTGAGAAGGAAGTAATAAAAGTTTTGTATCCCGGAGAAGGCGAGGATAAGAAATTTCGAGAACGAAATTCTTTTACGGAGGAGAGAGTGTGAGAAATCGAAAATTTTCTGAATTTCTAGGCCTTATTTTTTTTGTTTGTACCCGTTTTCTACATTTTTGTTATTATGTTAACTTTAGAGATATTTTTATAAGTAAATACAGTTCTTAACTCATTTTTCTAATATAAGTTAGTTCATGAGATATTTGAAGTGTATATTGGACGTGGGACCCGCTAGTGCATTAAGTGAGAGAAATTTCGGCCAATTAGGTTAAGTGTTGTATACTGAGAGTAATTTACTAGGTGTTGAGAGATAATTAGAGGTTACCTATATGGATTAGTATTAGAGAGACAAAGGGATAGCTATAAACCAAAAAGGTGACAAGTGTCACTTTGTGATTAAAGGTTGGACTTTGACCATTTTACCAACTTTACTAAATAACCAAGAAATTGACCCAAAACTCATCATCATACATCTCTCTCTTGGCCGACTCTCTTAGAGATCAAAAGAAAGAAAAACCTCCAACTTTCTTCTTCTCAATCTTGCTCAATCTCACAACTTAACCGTTACAACTTGAAATTACTCCATAAAAACCCCTAGCTAAGTAGTATTGAGGTAGTTAGTGGAGTTGTTTTGGAAGAAAGAGACCTAAGCTACTACCTTTTGGGAGGTATCAAGGTATGGTGTGTAAAGATTCATTGTTTGTTTCCAATAATGGCTAATTCATGACTTGTGGTGGCTAGTTATGTGATTTTATGGAAGATTTTATGGATTAGAGTGAAGTTAGCTAAATTTCTGATTTTTGTGAGAATTTTTCTGTTTTCCTATGATGGATATGGTTGGCTTGAATTGATGGCTCTAAATGGTGTTAAATAGACCTCTTGTACGTTAATTGCGGTTATTTGCGGAAAATTTCAGTTTTGTGCGGAAATTTCAGCATTAGGGTTCCAATTTTCCCTGTTCTGTCTGGTTTTATTTGAGCATGTTAGAGGCCGAATCAGGCTTAGTTTAAAACATGAAAGTTGTAGCAAATGAGGTTAACTAGCTGCCTACTACATTTCAGCTCAATCGGAGTATTGTAGCCTTTGAAATGACCGAAATACCCTTGACTGTCCATGAACCCTGTTTCGCCGACCGATTTCTGTTTTCGTGGGGATTTCCATTTTTGAACATGAAAATGCATGATTTGGCATTGGAGGTCTTCATAATAAATGTAGGTTTATGTTTTGGATTCGAAACGCCATAAGATTCGTTACAATCCGATAAGTGTAGCTTCAGTTGTGCTTTTTGTGCCGAAAGGTGTATTTTATAGTCTATAATGTGTATGTGGTTGATTGGAGATGAATTGGTGTTGCTTGCAGGATGGAAAAGTAAGAAAATGTAGGGGATATGCTGTCCAAATTTTGGATTGTTGGATTCTTTCGAATTTGGTTTGATTTGGGATATATAAGATAGGCTTTTGGGGTTGTTCGAGCCCTAAGTTTTCATATTACCTTTTCGTTCCCGAAATCATGTTTTGCACACTTGCATGAGTAATTAGTTGGCGAGGTCTACGACTTGTAGTCGAGCCTCATTTGTGCATTTTATTTACTGAAATTGTGGCTATGGGAACCATAATTGTTTACCTTGGCTATTCTAGGGTTTCTTGGTGATTAGCACCCTACCTTGGTTGAACTCTGCTTTAACTAGTGAGTGTACCACTCTGCTGAATTGTTGTTTAATTGGTTCATCTGTACTTGAAATGTGTGACATGGATAACTATGAACTCTGTTATTCTGAATGAGACGAGGGTGTACTTTATCACACTCGTTATCTTGCCTGTACTGAATGAACTGGAATCTATTACTTGTACTTGTTATGTACTTGAACTTGTTACTTGCGCTTGTTATGAGATCGTTTGGAAGTGTGTCCAACGATCTTCCTGTTAAACTTGAGTTCAACCTCATGGGGAGTTAATTAAATCGAGTCAGCAAGGGCTTGGTCGAGATAATTGACAATCCATGGGTACCTGTTCCTGGAGAATCTTTGGGTATTGAGACTCTTGATTCCGGTATACTTGAGTATTACCATTACTATTCCTGTTCGGCGTTCGGGCCCGGTAAGGGGTATGTTTGGTGAATGGAATTTTGGCGTAAGAGGGGTCTACGGACATGAGTGTGTTATTAAACGTTGACGGAGAGTCAACGAGGCTAGATCAAGTATTGCAACGGGGATTTGGCTCCTGAGGGCCACCTGTATCCTTTTAATTGTGGTGTTAATTTATTTCTCTTACTTGATGTGTATATGTGCCCTAAAAGTGTTTTCCCATGATTCCACTGTTATGCTTTTGGTACCTCATTGAGCTTCTAACTCACCCCGTTCCGTTATCCTTGTTTTCCTTACAGGGAACCACTTTTGGAATTGTGATTTTGAAGCATGAGTTGAGCTAGTTTAGAGATTTTGTATAGCTCCTCAATGGTTGGAAACCCTAATTGTACTTGGATTCTAATGTTCCCTTTTGATTTGTAAAAATACGAATGTGGTTTATAAAAGCGTGTACCCATGTTCATATGTTATATTTGGTTTGTATATGTCCATTTCAAGAATTATATGAAGTTACTTGTATTCGATTGGGTCCTGGTCGGATTGTGACGGGGCAGGCACTATTCACTTTCCGTTTCGATTTTCATTTTTGTTTCGTGTTTTTTTTTTGTTTTTTTTTCCGCACGCTACTGTATTGCGCTACTGAATTCCGGCACGTTTTGAGTTGCGTCTTAATAGTCCTGATTAGAGTTGGGCAGGCAGTCCGCTAACCTCTTAGGTACGCCTTAGGGGAAGGTGGGGCTGTCACATATAGAGGATAAACTGGTTTAGAAATTTATTCTTGACTAAATTTGCTGAGCTTTTATTTCAAAAAGAAGAAAATAAAAATAAAAAGAAAAGAGTTAGAAAGTTTTTAAATAATTCGGATGCATATCCTATAGGGAGCCCTATCTGCCAAGGGTCAGCCTAGTATGACGCAGCACCTTTGTAGTGAGGCTTGTTCACAAAACCTGTGTTTCAGAAATAACATTGTAAAAGATAATGATCACTTCATTGATGGGCTTTAAAATCTCATACATCATCTATATCATTTTCCGAAGGTGATTTCTTGCAGGATCATTAAATTTTCTAAATCTATCTATCACAACGTCTTTTGACTCTCTGGAATAGGGGTTTTGCATGTGTTTAATTTGATCATACTGCTGCCACACTTTCTTTTCAACTCCTGATATTTTTCTTGTTTCTCCTCACACAGTCTTTTATTCTTCTCTGCCAAACCGTTGTTCACTTCCACAGATTGCCTCAACTATGCATTTGCTCTATCCTTCGACTCAATGATAGCCATTAATTTCTTGACTTTCTTAGACTATTTCATTAGTGGTCGCTTAGTATTAAAATCTCTGAGTCACTCGTATTGAGGGGTAACTAAAGTCGTCTGCTTAAGTTGTGGAATATAAATGATATGCTCATCACTTGACAATCTTTCCCAAACTTCAATAATTGGTATCTTCATCGAAATTTTGTTTAGACAGATTCCTTTGTCAAAGCTGATGGTAGAACTGATCAAATCAGGTGTGAGTGGTGCTCCTTGAACGTGTCCTAACTGTCTAAGAAACCTTTTCGGAGTGTATGCCATGATGCCTTGAATTTTCAATAGCAGTATAAAATCTAATAATTTTGTGTGAAGAGTAGGGTTGAAACAATCGATCCAGTCTAGTATCCATCTAATCTTCTGATTTGGTAATACCCTCAGAAAGTCCAACCATTCTGATGTATTCTTTGGCAAATTGCTTTTTTCAACACTTTTATGATGTGTAGCTATCCAATTATACCCAATCAACGGTAGACTATCAGGAGCAGGCAATTGTCTCCAAAAATGTTCCATGGCCTATATATGTAGGATTCGATTTGACTTATAGACGAATTTTGATCCTTTTTGATAATTGGTACAAACGACAAAAATGTCAGTCAACACTATCGGTACTATAGAGCCTTGACAATTCTTAATCCCAAAAAATAGGTCAGATAGAAGTTTAGTGATTTTGAAACCAATTTTTTTTATTTTTTTTGGAGATCAAATAAATCTCTGCCATAACAAGTTCATATACCAGCGGCCTTTTACGCTCCCATGTTGTCTTAGATGCAAATGAAAAATCTTCCAAATGCTTATCAAATCCGTCTTTCATTGCGAATCTATCAAATAAAAATTTTACATCTATGCTTTGATCTGATACTTATACTGCAGACTCTTTTAACCAAATAAAATAACAAAACTCTATTTGACCAGAAGCAACAAAAAATATCACCATTGTACCCTTTACTGACAAATTTAGAAGATCGGCTACCTCTTTAATTGTCGAAGACATCTCCGTATTTCCTATCCTAAACATTGAACAGTTGGGATCCCACAGTTGATTCAAAGCATCTACCAAATACCCATCAGATTCAATGTCTTTGAAGTCTCAAATTGGCTGGAGATAGGAGGCAACTTGATTGATTTTACTAAATGAGAGAAACCCTGGCCATTTTCGAACCTCTATTGGAACTGCTAACAGCTGACTGATTCATTGAGGTTTGTCCATTTGAACCATGTAACCTTGATTAAATACCTTACCTACAGGTCTCACTTCTCCAATTTTACAAAAAATTAAATATGAATATCCCATAGAGGGTTAGATATCTAGGAAAAACAAGATTGATATATTTCTAAAATGGAATTCGCTAAATAGCGTTCCTTCTAGGATTAATGCATGATGACAGTTTATTAAATGAATAAATATGTAATACGATAATTGAAACA